TTGTTGAATTTTTATTTTGCTGCTGCAGTTCAGTCACATCCATAACAAACTCAGATTTGATCAAAGTCAATATATATATATATATATATCTGGTTCAGACTTGTGGTAAAAACTGAAAGAAAGCAGTTTGACCATTGCTGCGTCAACGGGCGTGTCACGTCCAGAGACCACTCCTCAGGTTGGACTCAGACTGACGGTAGAGCGGCTGCTGTTATCTTTGGCCAAATCTCTTCCCATGAGAGCCTCAACCGAGTGTGTTTTCCATTTAAGTTCCTCGTAGGTGTGTGTGAGATGTGATGCTCAGGTGTGAAGTGTTCTGCGGTTCCCAGTAGAGTGAAGTCTCCACACACTCTTCACATGTCCACGACCAGGGGTGAGAGGAGAGAGAGAGGGGGGGGGGGGGGGGGGGGGGGGGGGGGGAGGGGGGGGGTGAGGTGGGGGTCACCCATATATGACCTGGGAAAACCAGTGAGACTCTGTCTCTGTGTGTAGGACATTCAAAAAGTCCTCAGTGAGTGATAAGGTGTTAGCATTTTAGGATTAGGATTAGGAATGAATTTGTAATAATAAAGAAAAGCTAAGGAGCTAAGACAGAAGTTATCAACCCCAGGTCCGCGGACCAGTACTGGTCCGTATGTCATCTGTTACTGGTCACAATTCATTTAATTCAAAGAGAATCTGGGAATATTTCAAAAAAGTACATCATCCAGACTCCGACACTAACGAATATTTCAGAACAGTACATCATCCAGACTCCGACACTAACAGAAGGAAGGAAGGAAAAATGTTTTATTTTGAAAATGTATCGATCCTCCAACAATGGGCCGGTACCAGCTGTTACTGGTCCACAGTAACAGACCGCTCCCTGGTACAAAAAAGGTTGAGGACCACGGGCTGTGTATTACACGTGTGTGTTCGCGTGATATTGATAATGTAAAATGGAGACCATAACACGTGTGTGTTCACGTGATATTGATAATGTAAAATGGAGACGTATGAGCAGCGAGCTTCATACAAACCCAGTTAGTGAAAATCAATTGTCTGCTGCTCTGATCTAATACGAGGCTGAGTGACTGTTCAGGAGCCGCAGCTGAAGCAGAAAAAAGTTAATTTACTTAATGGGAACAGTTGCTCGTGGTTCACGTACGAAAGCATAACGATAATAAACGAGGCGGCTGATAATGAAGCAGTAAATCAGTCTTTAAACGTAGTATTAACAAAGTCATCTGCTAATTCGTTCACATGAGTGAGTGGACGCTGATGGAGGGAAACAGGAAATTAGAATTAGACCGTCACGCAACGTATGTTCCAAAAACAACTAAATGTTAATAAAAAAGATATAGAATAGGTAAATATAAGTAGAAGTAATCGGAAATGTAGCTAATAGTTGGCCATGGACGCAACAGCATTTAACAGAATTATGTTAAAGGATAGCTCACGCTAAATTTGAAACAGCTAAATATTTATATTTTATCCAAAAATTTAGCAAAAGTATTTATATTACTCAAAGAGATTATGAAAGATAATTCACGTTTTGCTGAATTAAACCTTTTTTAATAAAGCTACATGGTATGTTTTAGCAAAAGATAATTTAGACAAATGGAAATGAAAGATGCTAATCTGTTAGCTAAAACAAAAATAGCTGAAACACTGACCCCAAGACTTCTCCCAAAAGTTAGCCAAGCTAACTCAAAATTTAGCTCAAATCTGGGGAAGCAAAAAGCTAATAGGTAGCCTAAAAATATGCCAGTCGATGTTTTACGGTAAATAAAGCTGAGTCAGCTGAATGCAGCTAACGTTTACAGCTAATATGACACACCAATATATTAGTTCTTGTACAGTTTCTGGTCTTAAATGTGTGGCCCACGTGGCTCGCGTCCCGAGGCTGTGTGAGCTTCACTGAACTAAAACCCTACGGAGTCTTGGCAGCGTCTCTCACCCCTGCTACACCCTGTCTCCCCCTGCCTTCTGTTGTCTGTGTCTCCAGGACCATTTGTGCGTCTAAATATTGCAGTGTTGCCGTCTATTGAAGCAATAACAAGCAACCGAACTGCTGCTGGGTTCACACAAGGTCACGGCCGATCAAATCCACGCTCTTTTTTTTTTTTTTTTTACCAATTTTGTATATTATATTAAAAAGGCCCTAAAGTGAAACAGGCTAAACGTCAACTGAAGGAACATAAAATGTTCAAACTAACAAACAAAAATGAGCCAAAAGCATGAATGTAAGAAGCAGGTCAAAGCTAGTGTAAGCTAATGTTAGCAGTAGCAAAGACATATGTCAAAACGTTAGCTTAAGGTTAACCCGTAGTAGGTGATGTTTTGACAAAATATTAATATTAATATTATTAATAACAGTCAGACTTTTCCACCATATATTTTTCACTCGTCGACTAAGCGTCGTTAAAAACATTTTTTTCTGCACCTACAGCACATACATCATGAAGCTGTTGGACATGTTTGTGCACGTGTGTCGGTGTTTTGCCGCTCTCGGTGGGAGGTGTCACCGCTGAACTCCTTCATTCTCCTCCTCTTCTCCCACTCCTTAGGGAGCAGCCACCAGGTTGTCATCCGTCAGACAAACACTGTCCCGTCTGACGCTTTAATCCCACCTCCTTTTATATTTTCCCACACTCACAGTCCCAACCTCACCCCTTGTTTTCTCCCCCTTCCTTCTCTACCTACGCCTCACTTTTTTTTTCTTTTTTTTTGCTGAAGATGTCAACTTTCAGCTGAAGGGGCTGAAACCCAGTCGACGCAGCAGTTGTTTGTGAAAAAGGCAGGAATATTAAAGCTCGAACTGACATGTTTGGCGGCGAGACGCTGCTGTTATGTATTTTCATGTATTTATTACTGTCAACTTTGCTTTTTTTTGGTTTATAAATGAATAAATTGTATAGTGAAAGCAGGAAAATACATAATTCCTCCCTAATATTTCATATTATCTGCAGTTCAGTGTGAAATGCCTTTAGCTGACTTAGCTAACATAGCATGCTAGCATGCTTTAATGAAAAGTGAAGAAGTTCACCATAAAATAAATGTTTCTCAAACAATATAGCCAGAAACGAATTTACTGAGTAGCTCAGGATTGGTTAAAACCGTTTTCTAGAAATTTCTAAGAGTAAAAATATGTAAACAAGCCAAACAAGCCACTAATTAGTCAAAATATAAATACATTGTCATAGGAAGTTAGAAGTTTACAAAAACTGTGCAAAAAATCTTTGAAGAAATGGAGGCCAAAACAAAGCTAATAGTTAGCCAACAAAATATTACTTAGCAGTGCGATAACTAAAAATTCAAAATGTCTCCTGCAGCTACTTCACAGGAGTCATCCTGCTAATTTCCTCGACTTTCTATATTTTTTTATATTTAAGATGATTTTTCATGAACTAATTTTTGTTGTAAACATAAAATGTTTTGGGTTTTTTTTTCCAAATCTAATAAATCTGTTTTACTTCCCACATGAACCCTTCTGGGCTCAGGTTTCTACTCATGAACGACACAGACGTCACTGCTGCAGTGAAAACCCTCTGATGTTCCGTGATCAGACTGGTGTCTGTGTCTCCAACAACAAAAGCTCTGGATGGTGTGTGCACGTGTGCTATTGTAGCTCCTCAGAGGAGGCCAGGTTACCGGGGCATGTGGGTAATGAAACGAGCTGCGCAGTCTGCAGTGAGTTAGTTACAAGGTCGGGGGGGGGGGGGGGGGGGTGTGAGGTGAGGTGAGGGGGAGTGCTCTTCTTTTATGACAACGTGAACACGTGTCTTTCAGCAGCTTTTGTCCCTGAGAGTTTTGTTGATTATTGTACACAGTGTATGTATGAATATATGTATATATATATATATATTTTTTTTTTTTTCCCAGCCATCACTGCTGTCTGACTCTACCCCAGATAATCACCCATGAGCTCGGCCCTATAATTAACGCTGCTCTTTGTTTACGTTGCTGGGGATTATACATGATATGGTTCAGTCTCCATTATTGATCTGGAGGATTTAGCTCCGACCGCTGGAGCTGAAAACGGACCATTTGTAAGTATTTCACACGGCGGTTGTGTGTGATTTTTGGCAAAACAGACCTACGGAGAACACACAGAGAGGCTGCAGGGAAGGGAGGCGGGGGAGGGAGCACTCCCTACTCCACGAACCTTCAGGTTTCAGATGAAATCATACAAACACGCAGCTCAGGTATCGTTGAAGGTTTCTGTCCTAGAACGTACGTAGGAAACGGACGTTGCAACATCTGGCTGTGAAGGTGGAACTGGAAATGACTCTGATAAGGACCAACAGAGGTTCTCATTCTGGGCCAGAATGGTACCAGTTGTTGAATATCTATTAGTGTGATTTTTAAATTTTTTTTATCTGAATGAAAAGTCATGAAACTTATCCCAATTTGGACACAATTCTGGCTAAAGGATCAGGACATCATTGAAGTAAATCCAGGATAACTCCCAACAGGAAGTTGACTGTTTTTAATAAATGGCTTTTTTTAAATACATTTTTTAAAATACTTCTATATTTTTAAATACAATCTATAGTGATAAACTCTAGTTTGTCCATTTCTTATTAACGGTTCATGTTTTTTTTAAAGATAGATTTTTCGGTTTTTAGATGTTTTTCGTCAGAGAACAAATGTCATGTCCTGGGCCTATTGTATTGTCAGATACAGAGGAAATTGTTTTTTTTTTTTTTTTTTTGCAAATGTAGACATAAATTAAAGCGATTTTTTTTTTTTAACCATCATGTGGCGATAAATGTGGTCCAGAGTGTGGACCCTATTATTCCTCCGTGGTCCACTGGTCCACATGCAGACGTGAAATAATAACGGCTGTGGTTTTTGGATAAATCCAGGTTGATCATAACAGGCAGAAGTCGCACATCTCTGAGATGAACAAACCAGGCGACTTCAGCAACGGCAGCAGCGGCATCATGGGTAATGTAAGAGCCAACACAATGAATAGCAGCCAATACACAGTTGTTCCTGTGTTTTCTCTCCGCTGCAGGTAATGAGCAGGAAGCTCTCCCAGGTGAATATTCATTAGACTCGTAGCTCGAGGCTAATGTTGCACAGATGAGCGCAGTCTGACCTTGAAGACAGGAAGGAGACAAACATTTGAGGCTCTTTTACCAAATAATAACATTAACATAACTGAGTAGAACTAACGTGGACGTTTATTTATTCACCCTGATCTGAGCTGAGGTGAAAATATACAACTGTCAATATTTTCACAGTAAAGCAGCAGTCTGATTGGTTGTCCATATTTTGTGTACATGTTGGGGGGGGGGGGTGTACCATGTGGTTCTGGACAATAGGTTTAAAGAGAATTTTGATATAGTCGTTTGTAATAGGGCTTTGAATTGGCAAGAATCTGGCGATACGATGCGTATTGCGATACATCGGCAACGATACAATATATTGCAATATACTACAACACTATAGGTAAGACGATATGTTGAGTTTTTTTTTAAACAATTTAATTATAGGAAAACTGTCCACTATCTATATTTTAATCAACCTTTAGCTAACACTACATTTAAGGTCACTTTTAGCTTTATTTCCTTTTTTGTTTTATTTAGGTTTTTTTTATCTGACTTGCTGCACTAAATAAAGCTAATATGTTTGGTAGAAATGTAACCGACACGTTGGCCGTCTTTTCTTAAATTTAAGCTTTGTTTTTGCTAATTGTTACCTATATTATTCTGCTATATTGCTAGGCTAACCTTTAGCTATTTCTGGTCTATCTTTCATTATCCCAGCTCTTTGTACACTGCACCACTGTGCAGTAGTAGAAATGTTGTGTCACTTAGTGGCCACCGCTCATTGGTTTGACTCTGAATACATTGATTCAAATACACTGCAGGTATTTTGGTCCTGGACTGATATTGGCTACAGTTGACGGTTGCAGAAATTGCGGCGGCGCCTGTCGTGTCAAACCGCAGCCCGTCCATCAGGTCGTTACACCTGATGCGTGTCACTGTTTCTTTGTGTGGATGATGAAGGGATGCAGGCAAACACCTGATGCCCGAGTGTTCTCCAGTATGAGGCGCTGTCACTCATATCTGTCATCACTATTAATGAGAAGCCGGCTGGGTCTTTGTGTTATTGTGTCGCTCCAGGACGGTGTGTTGTTGTGTGTGTGTGTGTGTGTGTGTGTACACCAGCACACGTGCCGACACAGTGAGTGCTAATGGGTATTCTAATAGCAGCAGATGTGGATTAGCTCATGTGACTCTTAACCAGAGGAACCAGCCAACGTTAGCTCATGTCACTCTAGGTGAAGCGGTAACAGCCCAGTGTTGGGATGTGACAATTGTGGCTGCGCAACACATTCATTATTCATGACCTGCATTCGCACGAGTTGCTGTTGATGATTCTATCAAATCTGGCGACAGACGCGGCGGTTAGGGGCGGAGGAATTGAGCGAAAGTGAAAGTGATTTATTGCCATGGTGACACAGCACACGGCGAACTGTGTGAGCAGTGCACCTCGGTGACACCTGGTGGCTGCTGGATTCGAACCTATGACTTTTTGGACAGAAGTCCACTTCAGGAAAATGTCAGGAGTCGAGGAAATTCAAGAAAGTGTGATCCAGTT